AGGGGTTTCCATCCCTTCACATCTAGATTCAGAGCATGAGAATAGTGGATGGCACAATTAAACAGTGATGATGCTAAAGGGGAATAATTATTTTACAATTACCTGCGAGCATCACAGTTACTGCGCTAATTAGTTTTTGTTTCCCACAAAGGTTTTTCCAGGAATGAGCAGCTCCATTTCTCTTAGGTTGAGCAAAAGCTTTTTCTTAGGGAAAAATAAAAATATATTTTCTGCACTGCTACACAAGTGGCACACCCCTGACGCTGGCTTCGTTCTATTACTGGTACCTCCTTGATAGTGGAAACAAACACCAGGGCATGGGAACTTGTAGGTGCTAATGAACTGGAAATCATTAGGCCTTTCCCAACCCTTCCATCTGCAGTTTTGCAGAACAAATATTACACTGGGAAATAGCTGACTCTTTGTGGTGGTCCCATTGGCCCACAAAAAGCAAAAATGTAAGCCTTCCATGAAAAAAACACAACCTCCGGTATTCATGCTCTAAGTTGGCAATGAAGACTTAGGTTCGGATGAAGTTCAGCACAGGAAGCGCAATACATCAATGACTTGCTAGTTTAGCCATGACCCATGATGAAAATATCAAGTTTTTCCACTGAAATGCTAATCAGGTGAGAACGCTTATGGCATTGTTCAACAGTTGTGAGGCTTGCTTAAAATGCACTACAAGGACATCAGGCCCCCGTAGATAAGTCTACATACAAGGCTCCCAGGAGCACCACTCCCAGTATTGGTACCACAGCCACATCACATCATGCATGACAGTCCTTTATCACATTATTTTGCATGCCAAAGCATTACTTGGCTTTTAATGAGAAATAAATCCTGTTTAACTTGTACGAAGCAAAACCACAAAAGGGGTGAGGAGAAATGGAAAAGATGGGGATTTATGTAAAAAGGGGAAGGAGATGGCAGGTTTTTAATCATAGGCCGAATATCTGGTTGTTATAACTTTTAGGAGGGGAAAACACCACCCTGAGGTGGAAAACAGACTAAATGTGCCAATGCAATCTTACTTACTAGGTTCATATCTGAAAATCTCATCTTCTTTTTATCTTATCTTGCAAGGGTCTTGCACCCTCCATGCAATGTGCCTCATCAACAGATGCCAGAGTAATCTCAATCAGCAAATTACAATTAAAATAATACCTCTAACATAGATCAAAGGTAACATGGGTGTTCTGAAATGCCAGCGTGGGATGAGATTTTGGCTTCCAGAAGCAGCTGATACTAAAATATGTACTGCTAACTGAGAGAAATCCCACCTGACAATATGTTTTTAAATTTTTCCTTAAAGTGCCATATGCAAAGCCCTTCTTTTAGAGTCTTGTCATTTTGATTTTCTTTCGGGACCATGCAGGAATCAGGTGATAAATCTCAGTTATTGTTGTATTGTATTATTTGTAATGGCAGTTTCCAAATGTACTTTAAATGCCACCTGGAGAAAAAAAGGGGACCCCAATACTTTTGACCTTCAATGCTGGTACTTGAGTAACCAAAAATATTTTTAATTAAAATAGGTTCTCTCTAGTTAATAAACATATAAAATAACAGTGTGAATTAGAATCATATTGGAGAGTCAGTCCTCAACAGGTGATATGTATTTATTTCCTGTAATGCTCAGTCATTTTCACATGGCACAATTTTGGTTTCCTGACAAAAATATATATCCTATTTTAACCCACAGTTCTCTGGTCTCTCCCCAACAACACGTGGACTTACATTTACATAACACACACACAAGTCAACCACAGCTTTGCTGTTAACGCTGACGCAGCTTGGTCAAGCACATAACCTCTGTAGGCATACCTGTAACATGGGTACAGTACGCTGCACCTCTACTGTGAAGGGTAGAGGTAGTATACATAAAGTGTCTTGGCAGATAGTAGGCATCCAATTAATGACTCATGTTTTCATCATTTTAGGTGAGAAGGGAGAACCAGTGATTGATTATATTGCCTCTCTGAACTGGGAACAATGCCCCTCCAGAGATGGTCCAGAAAGTCCCTTTCAACTTGAACAATGAAGTCCTTAGAACCACATTTCAGTTTAATCAGACACTGACAGACATTTTTCCAGCTATCCTAACTTGGGAGAACATACTACACCAAAAGGTTAATTCACCAAGTTGACAAATTCACATTCACGGTACCTCTTCTTGTTTCAGTAAGGTTACCCACCCAATGTGGAAAAAAAATTTTCATTTAAATTTACTGGTAGCTTCTAACATCACAAATCTGAATGAATACTTTAAAAGCTGCATTTAGAGATTTTTTTCAACCTGCAATTTCTCATGTCCAACACATCATTTCTTAGATTTTTTTTGTTTAAAATGTCAAAATTTAAAAACACTAAATGTATATCATTAAAAAGGTGAAACTGAGGAAACAGTCATCTATACCCCCAATCCCAAACCAACTGCCCCAGTTTAAAATAGATTACAAAAAAATCAGGTCGTGTATTCACTGTGCTTTCTTGCAAATAATATTCTTTTGTAACACTAAGCCAACAAAACTTTAATAGTTAACATTATTTAAAATGTCCATTTCCATTTTCAGTTTTGATACTTAATGTTTAAAACCCAAGACTTTGAAGCATATGTCCTAACAATTCTTTGCTGCTATAGAGACTTAAATAATCTAGGCTGCTTAAACACTGCATGGCTCATAGGGCCATTAAGCAAAATAATTCATCTCAAGGGCTATTTGTTCATCTGTCTTGAGGACTCAAATGTATTACATCTTGCAAACTTCTCAAATATATTCTTATGGGGAAATGCCATTAAAAATATGTCCTACTGTTTTAGAAAATCAACAGCAGGAAAGCCCCTATGCTTTATTTGAGTTCCTTTTAGGAATAGGTCAACATCTACTGCTACAATTTAATCCAAATGGCAATATACCATACATGACAGCCAGTCCCCCAAACCATAAATCCACATAGCTATCTTTTTAGCTGTATGAATACGATGATAAAATATACTACTATCTGGGTTCCTAGCCTTTTCAACTTGTCATATGCCCTCTCACACAGCTCCATTCCCCAAAGATAGCCTCTAATGTGAGTTAATTACAGACTATTTTGGAACACATGCTATAGTATTCTCAGGGATAAGGAGACAGAATTGTTATCTAGGAAACAAAAAATATATATATAATTTACTAACCCTCTTTTTTTTTAAGTTCAATTAAGAGATCATTAACAGTTAGACTGAAAACAATTTGAATTTGATTTCAAAGGATATCATTTGGAAATTACATCTGGAAGAGAAGTGGGGTGGTCTTACAATGTGTATAGGAGACTCCGGCGCTAAGATACAAAGGTTCTATTTAGAGCAAATAGTTTGAACAAGCCACATTCAAACACCAAATGAAAAGGACAAATTAAACTTTCATAATTCATAATTTAACTGATAAAAGACAACATCTTTCAGAGGCCATTAACACATTAAATTTAAAGCATTCATTAGCTAGATATATTATGGTCAGTGACCATAAATTCAAAATCACGATCAAGCCGTTCCTTTGGTTCAGCCCTGACACTCCTCTAGAGAGGGAAAAACATACAAAACTTTCAATAGCTAATGTGCAAACATGTATATTAATACTGATATATCTTTTAAGGTGGACAGAATAGAGATCTTTCAAAATAAATATTATGGGAATGTTACTAACCAAGATTAATTTCGCAGAGAAAACTGCCAAAGGGAAATTCAATATTTTAATTTACATTATCTGCTTATATAGGCTGGGACAATGAACCTGACCACATGTACAAGCAAGTTAACATTCTTAATATCGACTGGAAGGACACAGTTCACATTTAATAGATTCTATCATCCCTTCCCCCCCCTTTTTTTTAATCCTAGGGGCTCAAATAATTGGCCACTGCGGAGTTTCTCAAGAATCTTTCAACTCATAACATTTAACATACTAGAAAATGAATCTAGCACCGTAGGGGGAAGTTAGTTGCCAGGGAAATGGATCATAAAGCTTGGAATGGCCTGAAAAATTGCAAAGGGTACATTAGGTGCCAGAAAGAATAGATGTTAAGTCTTAGAAGTGTGTAGAATAGGAAACATTTTATATGTACTCTTACCAAGGATAGCAGTCCTTTTTACACTAGATTAATTGTAGCCTAGAGCCACTATCAAATTTCTTGCCTGACAAGAGGGAGTTTTATATATTCCAGGTCTAAAATGGGCAGAGACTTTTCAGACCCACGGTGGCAATCTTTTTAGGTTTTCTTTTCATAACACACCTGAAACACAAGTAGATTCTAGTGACCAGACAGAGCCTGAGTTGGTAACAGAAACTTTCCTATCAAGACTAACGAATCGGATAAAAATTAAACATACTTTCCTTTCCTTGAGAATCCCAGCTCTTTATTTCTCCCAATAAACTCTCCACCCGAGTTCGACACGTAAAACAACCAGACACACATGAATTATTAAATTATAGACTGCATATCAGACAAACCATGATTACGTAAAAAATTACCTCTAATTTCTGCAATAGCGTACACCTGACTATTTTACTGCTTTATAATTTTTCTCCCCTTTTTTTCTTCCTCTTCTCTCCTTCCACTCGCCCACCATAGAAAAGGAATCCTTGCGGATGATCAATTAAGCGAGCGGGTAATTTGGAAAGAAGGTATCTTGAAATGGGCCACGAGAGCTGCATCAGCCCGCATTTCAGATGACACGAGCGTGCACGCGCGCACCCCGCCCCGGGACCCCACCCCGGGACGCCGCGCCGCGCTCGCCGGTCCCCGCCGGCCGGACCCCGCGCCCAGACCGCGCACCGCGCTCGGTCCCGCGCCCGGGTCCCCGTTGGCGAGACCCCACGTCCAGACTTGCGGGCTCCGGCCCCGGCCAGGTCCCCGCCGCAAGTCCGGACACTCGCCCTCCTCCCGCGAGCGGCGCCCGCTCTCGTCTCCGGGGTACCCCAGGAGGCGCCCTGGCCGCGGCCGCCCGCACTCACATTCTGTCGGTAACTAGCAGGCGGCCCTCGACCATCATGTCCGGGAGGAAATCCAGCTTGAAGGCAGAAGTCATGGTCTCGGCGCGCGCGCGGCGCGGGGCGACGGGGGGCGGCGGTGCGCGCGTCCGAGCGACCGCGGGCGGCGCGAGACGGGCAGGGACAGGTGCGCGCGGCCTCCCGGCGGCCGCCCGAACCGGCGCTTGTCACATTCTCTCCCCGCCCGCTCTCCGCCAATCCCCTCCGAAAGCCGGGCTGAGGCGACGGGCTGCGGAGCGCCAGGTGCGGCGGGCGGAGGCGGAGCTCCGCGCCCGCCGCCGCCGCCGCCGCTTAACCCCTGCGGGTCCGCCCGGCCCCCGGCAGGACCCGCCCAGGCCGAGCGCGCCGCCCGCGCAGCCCCGGACTCGCCGAGCGCCCCACGCCGTGGAGGGGCCGGCTGGCGGGGCGCGCTGCCTCCGCCTGTTCCACCCCGTGCCCCATGGCCACGGCGCCTGGCACGAGGCCCGAGAACCGCACGGAGGAGGTGGAGGGCCCCTGTACTGCCAAAGCCCATCAAAGCCAGTCAAGCGAAGCCACAAGGCACGGACTGATCACGAGTGTTAGTTTTAAATGCTCCTCGGTGCGATCTGCTTGCCCGTGTATGAACTAACATAGCTGAAATCGCATTCGTGGTTTAGCCAAAGTCAATATAGGTCAATGGCCCAAGTGCTTTTTAAGGAACTTATCTCGGTGCTTTAAGGACAAAGATGAATCAATATCTGCACGGTATTTCCTTTTGTATCATCTTGAAAACATTCAGAAGTATAAGGGACTGGAGATAAAACAATAATACATCAAGTTTTCTTTTAAAAAGATAAATCATCAATTCGTCGTTTCCTAGTGTTTAATACAATGATTGAAAACCAACAGAGTGACTTCATGAAAGGGTGTGAGGTCTATGATGTAATGCCCATGAAGCTTAAATATCCACTTAAAGTTTGCAGCTGATTTACTAATAGGCATTGAGAAAAACGACAAAACTCTTACTAAGAAATAGAAGGAGGATGTTTGATTTTCTGAAGTGATTTGTGAACATTCTCTAAAGATAAGTATTTATATGCTGACATTCTATTTTTGCGTTCTCCTTGTTTTGTTGTTTGGTTATTTAGATGGAACCGAACTTTCCACACAGTCACAAGTATGTAAAACAATTTCATGTCACCTTTCATATTCTAAAGCAACATCAGAAATTGCGTATCAGCAGTTTATGGTTTGCCTCTTTTGGTGATCACTTTTATTTTGTAATAACATCACAACTGAGGATATAGTCACGGTAGCCAGAGGGTTAAACAACTAAGTCACATGTAGTTAAAATGTATCAGACTCCAAAATATGGAGAAAAGATATCTTTTCTCACCAATTTATTGTGTGATAATGAGAACTATCTTTAGAGGTTATGAAGGAGAACAGATCTTTATATACCAATTTTAAGTCCACATATCAATTTTAAATCCAGGCTTGATGCACTGAGCAATATGGAATAACAGGCCTGAGGTATTCAATTAAGTCCATACATAGTTAATGGACTTAATTACCTTCAGCTGAACAGTATATCTGCTTTTTAACCAACAAGAGTGCTAATCCCAAAACAAGTTAGATGTAGGACTAGGACTAACCTTTACTTTAAAATATTCCCTTTCTGAGGAGCTAGGTCTAGTTTGTAAGGAATTGAAAAACATACGCAATAAAATGGATTCTTATATCCAAAATGTCCAAGCTTTTCCTAATAATATTAAGCTACATTTATTCCCTTCCTCAGCTACTGCAGGCTGCCACTGAAATTATAAGAATTTTGTTGATTTTTCAATACTCTTAATAAAGTAATTAATTCCATAAATGAGACAAACCTGGACAGTTCTTGGCTTTCCATATATTATTTACCTAAATCACAAATGTATATAGTAAGTTTACTATAAAACAAAGTTATTTTAAGAACAAACAAACAGAACCAGCCTCTAGAACAGAAGCAAAACACAGAGTTAATGAAAAAGAAAAATATTTTCAAATCAGCCATGGAATAAAGTTCCATAAATATCTACATTCTGTAACACAAAAACACAGAGTTAATGAAAAAGAAAAATATTTTCAAATCAGCCATGGAATAAAGTTCCATAAATATCTACATTCTGTAACACAGATAAAGCTTCATTAACATGTACACTTCTGAAATATTTATTTTCTCTTTAATTGCATCTGAATTAGTTGGGAGAAGCTGTAGGGAAGCCCTCTTACGGACTTAAGCCTTCTCAGCAGTTTGTTAACTCAAATCCCTTGAGGCAATAGTGGATTCAAAGCAGCTTTTAATCATACTATAAGGAGAGAGGAGTAGTATGTAAGTAGGTCACAGAGAAAGAATTACAAGTGCATAGGTTACTGCCTTCTTTAACAACTACAGTGTACCAGAGTTTTCAAAACACATTTGCTTTTGCCATTTAAAATTAGAAGTAAAACCAGGATCAAAAATAAAAAACCTCATTCTTATGGGATACAGTGGCGATGTAAACCAAGAATACTTACAGTGTGCAGCTAAGTTTAAATAGTTTGGTTGCCAAATACATAAATAATGATTGCATAGGCACTTAATGTAGGTGCCAGAAACAGAGCACACGCACGCGCGCACACACACACACACACAGCATTTTGTTTCCATGATCGCAGTGCACATGCAATAGGCCTTTTAAAAAACACAAATTTCGAAAGCTTGAGCTTAAAAATGAAAAAAATACCAAACCAAATACCATGAGATGAAAAGCTTAAATTTCTCATTTCACTGCTTTGGCAGGAGGAAAAAAAAATCTAAAAATGATTCAGTGGGGCCCCTTTTTTAATGTTCATGCATGAGCCATCAGGTATCATGTTTTGGCAGCTGGAGTTGCTTGGCAGACAGCTCCATTGGGCCGCTGCTGAAGACTCCGGTTCAGTGAAGCTATTTCATAGCCAAGGATCTTATCAACAGCAGAGAAAGGGGATGAGGCCATCACCGGGCCCCTCTTGTGGACAGGGCCTAGCTGGTGACACCCGTGTGTGCTGGCATCACTGGGGATGTGGCTCTTGAGAACAATGACATTTCCCCATAGTTTTAGCTTCGTTGTAGAAAAACCCTAGCTCTTCCCTAGGCCCATCCCCCAACCTTCCCTAATTGTCTATTTTTTTTTTAATCAACTTGCTATTCATTTCCCAAACAAAAGGCAATTCAAGAATTGGAAGCACTTCAAGGGAAAGTTCCTGAATGACCTCATTTTATATGAGGCCTTCCAAGGCAACCAGAGAGAGCCCTGTGCTGCTTCAGCAGCCTGTTTCCCCCCAAGCCTCCTCTCACACTGAGTCCTCTGCAACGGTCATTGTTTGAGCACTGAATTATCACTGGCATTAAAAACTAAACTCTCAATAGAAACAGAGTGGTAATAAATGCATTTGAACATAGAGTACACACTGTTTGAACTGGGAGAATCCTAGTCCTCTCACCCTACTCAATCAACCAGAATACAGTCTCTTGACTATAATTTTCAATGTTTTTTGCACAAAGTTCATATAAAACTTAAAACACTGGTGCCTGATATATATGGATCAATGTTTATAACCAGTTAATTTTCTCCCCCAACTGGTGTTATGTGACAAACTTCCATTCTTTATTCATTTGCATTACTTCACACATCACCATCTCTTTAAAAGCAATAGACAGCTACGCAACTAGAGATGTACCAGTTCTGTTCAGTCTACTCAAAAAGCCACCTTCACAAAAGGGGTCACCCCCACTTCTGGCTCATTCCTTGCAAACTAGAATCCAAAACATCTTTCCCCTGTCACATCTTCAAATTCAAATTTTAGTAACATAGCTGTTTTGATTTGAGAGAGAGAGAGAAAAAAAAACCCAATATGTGCTCAGAGCCATTTGGAGCAAGAAATACAGGCGCTATAAGGGGATTTCCCATCATTTCCAGCCAATAAATTTGAAATCCACATGAATTTTAAGTACCTGAGAGAGTATCTGACTTTGTGGCTATGTGTTTGTTCTTGGCTTACTCTGGTTTCATTAGCAACTTGCAAAAATAAACAATGGGGTTGTGTTATGTGCTTAAAAAAAACCCCAAACAGATCCTTAAGTGATACATTGCAAATATATCCTTTCTTAGCTCCATAAAGGTATCTCTTAAAAATACTTTTATCACCACTCATAAATTATAGTGATTAACTTATCACTACCCTTACCCCATCAAAGCCTCTGGAATGGCAAGTTTATCACATTCCTAAAATGACTTAAGTGAAATGCCAATAAAGATGAAATAGTTATTAAGCTCTTATTTTACATATTTACAAGCATTTTAAGTAGTCACTCTCCCTTGAGAACAGCTGCTACTGGCTTTTTGCAATCCCGTGTTTTTCTGAATCTGTTTTTAATAGAGCAAAAATACACAATGGTGAATTTATCTTTCTTGTGGAGAGGCCCTCACGCTGAAGATGGTTCTTTGTAAACATACCTTCGTGCTCGAAAACGAGATGCCCCTCTAGAGTTTTCAGCAGCCTTGGTTCCAAGGGGGTGAGATGCTAACTCGGTGGACCTGTCAGACCGAGAGCCCAGCCAGCTCATCAGGTCCCGCTCAGGCTTGCCTTTCCCCTTTTCCACTTTCTCCATTTTCCCCTGCCGCTGCCTTCCCTCACTTGGCTTTCTCTTTCTCTCTCCTCTTCTGCCTTTTCTCTCACAAATGGGAGCCAGACAGGGCCAGAAGCTGTCCTCCACAGCTGCTGGCTGAGGAGACAGGTGACCACCAAAGCAAGGGGTGCGGCCATGGGAGAAACCAAGTCTGCCTTGCCTTGACCCCGGCTGGTTTTGAACTAGGAACAGCTGTCTCTGGGGCCCGCCATGGGATTCCTTTCCAGACATGTCCAGGGGTCAGGAGTAGGGGATGTACAGCTGAATCCCATGAAGTGAGCAAGGATGTGAAGGTTCAGAAGGAGACGACTGGAGGAAGGGTGGGGAGGAGAAGGCATACCTGTGTTGCATGGCACTTTGCACACGAAGGCACTCAGGGAAAGCCCCTGCAGGAATGCTCCTGTGGCCCCTCGAGGATGCCAAGATTTGTCCAACTATACCAGGTACCCTTATCTGGTGCCAGCCTGGCGGCAGGAATATTTATCCTCTCTGAATGAGGTTTTTAGTTCCCTGGCAATCTGCCCTTCACCCCTCAACCCTCACAAAGTGTTTCCCCAATTGGCCAAAGTTCTCGTCTTACTGTCACATGTTGTAAAA